CAAACCCCGGACACACCTCATGCTCCTTGCTCCCAGTTCAATCCTCCCCGGCCAAACGAGTCACACTGGTATTTATTTTACAATACCTTTTCCATTTTTTGGCGCAGACTAAGAGATAACCTGTGAACAAGATTGGCTCCATTCCCTTCCAAACTGGAGCAGGTCCCTGGATGGAGGGAGGTACCGAGCTGGTGGTGGAGCTTCAACAGAGGTGAGCAGCTCTGAAACGTGCACTGTCAGCAGAGGTGTGACCCAGAGGACCTGGCCCAGGGCTGTGACCCAGGGTTGCTGAGTCCCTCTGCTGTTATCCGTGCCCAGCCCCAGGGTGGATGCAACAGAGACAAGGATCACCTCGAGGTGCACAGAGACCCCTGTGTAGAAGTGTTGGGTGATCTGGATGAGGCAGGGGCTTCTTCCACTAGATCAGGTTGCTCAAAAACATGTCCAACCTGACCTCAACCACTTCCAGTTACGGGGCATCCACCACTTCTCTGGGCAACAAGTTCCAGGGTCTCACCAGTTCCTGCAGACCTGAGAGGAACGCAGACTCCACTGGATGCGTTCATCTGCCCAAACAGAGGTACCTGCAAGCCCAGGTGCCAACACCTGGTTTATTCATGCCGGGATCTCTATACTGGAGGAACATGGCCACTTTTAGGGGGTGCTTGTTCTCCTTCCAAAGAAGATAAAGCCAGTCAAGGGAACAGCATGGCACAAGAGGGAGTTTCTCCCTGTCAGCTGGGAAGAATCATCCTGTGATTTTCCGGTGTCACACCCACCCATCGCGCTGCCCCCAGAGGCGTTTCACCATGTTTCACAAGAATAAAATGTCCCCTCTCCCTCACTCCCTCTTCTGGCACACGCACGGAGCTGAATTCCCCCAACCCCCCTGCTTTTACCTACATATTCCGCAGCTTAACGAATTTTAAAGTGCTTCGGGAGAGGAAAGGTGTTTTAAGAGCACAAAAGGGCCATTGATATCAGATGTCAAGCCCTAACAAAGAACAACTGTGCTGCTGGTGCTTTCTTGATTAGTCAGGGCACCCCAGGGCTGCGTTATCTCCTTTGCAGCGGTGACAGAAACGAGATACCGGCCCCTCTTTGGAAAAGTAACTTTTATTTTGTTGAAGCCATACGTTTCCAAGGATTGAGTAAAGCTCACAAGCCCTAAATCACGCCCACAGAAGAACAATCATCTCAAACAATAGTTAGTTTGCAGCAGGATGTTGCAAACCCTGCTGGAGAGGGTACAGCAAAGGGCAACAAAGATGGTTAAGGGCCTGGAGCATCTCTCCTACCAGGAGAGGCTGAGGGACTTGGGTCTTTTTAGTCTTGAGAAGAGAAGACTGAGAGGGGATCTAATCAATGCCTATAAATACTTAAAGGGAGGGTACCAAGAGGACAGGCCTGGTCTTTTTTCAGTGGTTCCCAGGGATAGGACAAGAGGAAATGGGCACAAATTTGAACATAAGAAGTTCCACCTAAACATGAGGAGGAACATCTTTACTGTGAGAGCGGTAGAGCACTAGAACAAGCTGCCCAGAGAGGTGGTGGAGTCTCCTTCTCTGGAGACATTCAAAACCTGCCTGGACAAGATCCTGTGCAACCTGCTCTAAGGTGGACCCGCTCTGGCTGGGGGGTTGGACTAGATGATCTCCAGAGGTCCCTTCCAACCCCATATGATTCTGTGATTCTATGGTTCTATGTTGCTTGTTCTGTGGTAGTTGCTCAGCATCAGAGGCAGGTTTCCCACCGCCCGGCTCGGACACACAGCACAGGAGAAAAATGCCCCTGCAGTTCCTGCAGTTCCTAGTGTCTGACATTTGAGCACATTAAGACAATTTTCTAATCATACTGCCCTGCATCTGCCCAAATCCTGCTGTGCTGCAGCCCCTTGGATTTCAAGGAGTGTCCACCTGTGGTCAGAAGACGCGGCTGCAGCACCATGGCCTGACCCGAGCTGGGCTGGGTAGTGATGGTGATGGAGATGTGGTCTGCAGACCTCCTGAGGTGTCTCAGCTTTGATGCCTCTCAGCACATGAGCTCCTGTGTCACTGTGAGCAGCGGGGTGCACTGGAGATGCTGGTGGAGCTGGGATGCGGGAGCTGCTGGGTTAAGGTGTGGGGAAGCTGCTGTGGGTGCAAGACCCCCCGAGAAGTGCATCAGTGGCCACCAGCAGCGGTCAGAGATAAGGCCATGCAGAAGGCATGAGATGAGCAGCTGTGGGGGGCAGCTGCCTCCTCCCCAGTGCTTGGGCTGCACTTGAGAGCTGCTGCCACTACAGGTGCCTTCAGAGTCTGCTGGGGACCCTGGTTCCACCAGGCTGGTGCCCCTGTCACTGCACCCTGGCAGCCTCTGGGACCTGAGCTGCCTGCTCTCCTGCCTTGACGGCTGCCACGTAGCTGAGAGGAGCACTGGGGCTGGGACAGGAGCAAGGAACCAACTCCCCGTCTGGCTCTGCAGGGCAGAAGGCATGTTTGAGTAGGAAAAGATGCAAAGTTTGATTTGGAGACCATCCACGGGCTGCTGTCTGCCTGCAGCGATGTGGACCTTGCCCCTTGCACCCGAAATTCCTGCACCAACAGCTCCAAGGCAGAGAAGGGATCTGTAAAATGCTGCTGACTTCACCCAGTTAGACTCATAATGGCACATAAAAGCTGCCTTTCCTTTTGAACCGAGCCAGCACTGCTTGCTGGGTGGCCTCTCTTTCTCCACAAGCCAGCCGTGGCCCATGAAGGGTGAAACGAGTTGTCCTCTGCCCCTGCTCAGCCCACCACCTCTCTGCTTCACCCCCACTGTTGGCATCCCCACCAATGCCTTCAATTCAGGACTAGCCACCAGCAACCCAGAACCACTGGGTCCTCCACAGGGATGGCAGGACCCCTGGGGCCCCTCATGCTTTGGCAGATCAGGGGTCCACAGCCAACCTGGAGCTGGAGGGAGGGACAGAGCTGGGGGTGAAGGGCAGGATCCACCCATGCAGGACTCCCAAATGCCACTGGGAGTCCAGCCAGAGCAAGGACTGAGAACCTTCCTCCTGCAGGCAGCTGCACCAAGCCATCCGAAGCCCCTCGCTGAGTCAAGCCCCGTAGAAGGGCAGCAGCCCTGTGCCCTCCTCCAGCAGCGGTGAGTGTCCCTGTGGCCTGCATCCTGCTGCAAACCCCTGATGGCTCCCTGCAAAGCCCCCACGTACACCCCGGCTCCCGTGTCCCAGGTGCTGGGGCTCCTTGCTCACTCCAGTGTGGAAGAAGGGGTGAAGAAGAGCGAGCAGGGTGGATGAGTGGTGCAGAAGAGGAGTTAGGTCCCCTTCCTACATAAACTGGTGTCTTGTAGTGAATCTACGTGTACAAGTACCTAAATGGTGGGTTGAAGGATGATGGAGCTGGACTCTTCTCAGTGGTTTCCAGCGATAGGACGAGGGGCAACGGGCTCAAGCTGGAACAGAGGAAGTTCCACTCAAATATGAGGAAGAACTTCTTTACGGTGAGGGTGATGGAGCCCTGGAACAGGCTGCCCAGGGAGGTTGTGGAGTCCCCTTCTCTGGAGATCTTCAAGACCCACCTGGATGCAGTCCTGAGTGATGTGCTCTGGGCAACCCTGCTTTAGCAGGGGAGTTGGACTAGATGATCTCTAGAGGTCCCTTCCAACTCTGACAATTCCATGATTCCGTGATAGCGCACCACCTCACCAGGTGGGTATTTTCACAGCAAAACAAACCCTGCCTCAGTTCCCCCTCCGCCTCTCCTCACACCTGACAGTCCGTAGCCCCCAGAGGAGAAAGTGGAAATGCACCCGCTTTTTCCCTCCTCCAGGTTTCTGAAACTGGATAAGGAAGGGAGATGCCCAGCAAAAGCCTTTGCTGCTAGGGCTCACGTTGAGCTTGGCTGCGCTGGTCCCTGCAGCTGAAACAGCCACATGGACCTCTCCTCCTCTCCTGGGCAGCACAGGCCCCTTCCATGAGTCCTGCCAGGACCTCCAAGCGTAAGAAACTCACCACAAGTGTCCTATTCCCTCTGCCTTTTCCATCTCATTTGCAGGACTCCCTTCATTGACATCCCTCTGGCCAGCTTCGCTGCCGGCACACCACTGAGGGGACCTTCCTGCCCTGCCCAGGGCTGGCTCCCACCCCGCTCTGACCCTAACACTGGGTAGGGGCCATGAAGGCACCAAATCAAGACAAACAAAAGCAGCAAAATCCCCTCGTGCTTCCCGTGCATCTCCTGTCCCGTGTCCCCTCTCTGTAAGGATGTCCCTGCTGCCACCCCAGAGTGGTGGGAAGCTGCTTGTCTTTTGCCCTAGAGGGAAATCCAGGAGGATCATTTTCCCCCTGCGAGCTGGGTTTCCAAACAAGCCCCAGAAGGACAGCTGTGGTGTTACCCATCCCCAGCCTGGGAATTGTCTGATGGAGACCTCAGGCACATAAATGCCGCTGAGTGCCTGGGGAGCTGTCAGCTCTCGAGGGAGGCAGGGCAGGTGGCAGCTGATTCAAAGCCAAAAGCCTGACTCCTGGGCGCTGCTGGGCTTCAGAGCAGGCACAAGGGCTTCAGGGCTGAGACCATCAGGGGCTTAGGCCACCATGGAATGCCACATCTTGAAGCTTTAGGGCTTAGAACTTCAGTGGTCACCAGAGAGCAAGGAAGAGTTGGGGAAGATGACCTTGGTACAGCTAAGGGAAAATGTTTTCCCACCAGGCAAAAGAACAAACAGTGGGTCCTTCCTCACAGCAAGATCCATGTGATTTCAGCTGTCTGGAAAGGTCTGAGGACTATGAGATACACTGGGTGGCATCCCCTCCACCAGTGGGACCCTGGTACAATGGGCACTGCAACCAACAGCAGGACTTTATCCCCACCCCTCCTCGCTCCCCATCATTTCCCAGCCACAAACCCTTGCACCCTCACTTCCTCCTCCTTTCTCCAGGTCCCAGAAAACCCTCTGTAGCTAAAATCTTGCCCCAACCATCACCACCTCCCCAGCAGGGATGGGCTTCTCTGGAGCTCTCTGCCAGTGCGTAGGTCCCAGTTTTATTTCTGCTGGAAGGAAAGAACCCCGTACCACATTCAGCACACATCTCCCAGAGGAAGCATCTTGCAAAATCACAGGAACTTTGTGGCCTGCACCGATAAAACCCCAACACTTTACAACAGCAGAACTTGAGTTACAATGGTGGCGTCCCCCGGCAACATTACGTCGGCCTCCCCTGTTACTCCCCAGTTGGTTCATTATTATTAATGTCACTACAATAAATACCAGAACAAAATTGACAGCGTTTGGCCACGTATCTTAAAGCATTGCCCCACTCCTCCTCCACTCCATGTCTTTGCAGCTTTGGTTTCCATCCCTATAAGTCATCAGAGGAGCCTTTAGGGACAAACCGCTTGACTATGTGACCAGCCAAATAATAAAAGCCATGCAGAAGTGTGGCTGTGGCATCGATGACCAGGGAGAAGGTGCCCCCGATGCCGGTGGCCAAGTCTTTGAGGACAGAGGGAATGGCACAGATGGAGTAGTAAGGAAAAGCAGCGAGGTGAAGGACAAACCCCACAGGGATGCGCAGAATCCTGTAGGTGAGGGACGCCACATCTTGAACAATTTCCAGGAAGCCCAGAAAGATGTTGACGATGACCCTCCCCACATCATAGGGGATGCTGATGAGCACCATGCTGATGGCTTTAAGGTAGGACACCACCCCGTTCCACAGGCTGTAGACTCCATCCAGAACTGTACCAACAACCCGCTTGATAACAAGCCACAGAAAATAGAACACAAATTTCACCAGCTCCACAAACACGTAGATGAGGAGTTCCAGAAGTTTGATGAAAGGGGTAGCAATGATGCCAGCCACTTTTCTCACCAAGCCACTGTCTTTGGCCTCCTCGTTGTCACTTGTTCCTACTTGCTCTCCGGAGCGGATCTGACTGACAGCTTGCAATATTGCTTCTGTTTTCTCCTGGCTTTGATTGTCTTCCCCACAGCTGCCCTTAAACAAGTGAACTCCTGCTAGAAGCTGCTTCTCCAGCTCTCCCACCGTGAGGTCCACCAAGCTGTTCTCATCATTCGTTTTTTTCACTAGTCCCAGGGACCATCCCTCCGGAGCATCACAGCAGGCTGCCAGCCAGAGAGTCTCTGGCACTGCCACCTTGCCTTTAACTTGGACATTGGAAGGAATTGCACCTGCAAGGAGATACAGATGATCTTTCTTGGAGCAGTGAGGGACCAGAGCTTGCTCCACTATCCTCCCGATGTCTCTGTGCCAGCTTTTGCTCAGAGATGGGCTCAGAGGGACGGCGTTCGTGAGCGTGTAAGTGGCCATCTGGAAATCCTCCTCATTGAGCAGGCTGGGATTGAGCAGCCCTCTCTCGTAACCAGAGCCCACGTAGTCTGAGGTCAGGGCTTGATTTGCACCAAGGTTGGCCACAGTGCCAACGATATCAGCTTCGTGCACCATCTCCTGCAGGTCATTTTCTGGATCGTCTATCTGAAATAGTAGGGAGGAGAGTTACTGGATGCGACTTGTCTGTTTAGAAAACAATGTATAAAACGGGCTTGGAAAAGTATATAAATAGAACAGTATGTTTTCCATTATGGCTGCTACTACAGGCTGTGCCTCGGACCACATTCTTCTCTCCCTCCATATTTTTCTTGCGCTTCAGAGGAGTGAATGCTCCACTGAGCTGCCCCACCAAACACATCAGTTTAGGCTGCAAAGGGTGCTTGCAGCTCTCCGGTTTGGTCCACAGCAGAACACAGCCTCCAGAATCTCACCAGCCACCCTCCACCAAGCTTCTCACTTGGGCTTTTTTTTTTTCCTAGAAGAGATTTTTAAGACCAATAGATGGCTTGATTTAGGGCCATGTTCTCACCTCCCATTGTGGTGGTACCTTGGCACCTTAATTCAGCCCCTCTGAACTATCAAATCCAAGCCTTGAAGAAAAAAACCACCATGGTATATAAGACACCTAAAGAAGGCATTGAGCTCTCACCACTGATTGTGTAAGAAGGCAGAATGAAGCCAGGCACCACGGCAGGTGACCTGAACTTCCCGGCCTTGAGCAGACACGGCACTGAGCTCCTAGGGCTCTCTCAGGGCTTGTCATTAGTAGCCTGCACCTCATGTCATTAGTCGTCTGAACCTCATCTTTAATGACCACGCAGCTCCTTGCATAACATGGGTGAGGATGCCATCACGGCAGGTCCTTGATGGAATCTGCATTACCTGCTCGTGTCTGCCACAGTGGGAATTCACCCTGGAGCAGGCACAGAGCCCTGCATGGGGAGGTAACGAGCAGTGGGAGCACTGAACACCAGGGCATGCCCAAGTCTTTCTCTGGTGGCCGCAGCTCTGTCTGCTCCTCAGTCACTCCTGTCAGCACTGCCTGCAGACACTCCGGGGGGGTTTGCCAGACGGTCATTTTCTTCCCCCAAATTAGAGGGCTGCCCCAATCAAACCTGCTGTCTTTGCTCCTGGCCTGCAGACTGTTTACTGCGCTTCCTAATACCTACTTTGGAGACACCTATGGCAAGACAGTTCATAGTCTACCTTGAGTCACTCCCCAGTCATCCCTTGGCCGCCCTGCAATGCACAGGGACAGATGCACAGCTACGTCCTTGTGACCTTAGAGCTGTCGTCCTCTCGGTGCCGCATCCCCTCCCCGCAGCGCCGTGCCAGCCTGTGCTGAGAGCGGGGATGACGGGGACGGTGCCAGCAGCTGTCCATCACCCTCACCATGGGAACCCAGCTCTGGCTGCCCTCCCGCACCAGCCAAGCCCTGCAGTCCAGGCTCAGGGCTCCCTCTGCACCAAGGCTGGTGAGGGTGCCAACGCCGGCCGCTGCAGAGGGCTGCATTACCCCCATCTCCTGCTAGGAGGTTTCTTGCTCTTCATTTAGAAGCATCTGATGCTTATTGCTTCAGCACTGAAAGGATCGCAGCAAGACCCACGCGCTGATGCAGAAGTCGTAGCCTTTTCTAAACACACCACTTAAAAAAGACTTAACCCTGCACTGCTTCTGCCTTGTTCTGCTCCTCTTGCTCAGACACCCCAAACGCAGGGGATACAGCTGGCTGGTGAGGCCAGACGTTTTGCATTCTGCAAAGTCACTGTCCCTTCCTGCCCCCCCCAGCTCCTTCTCCCTGTTGTGATATGATGGCAATGCTGTGCCACGGGGCCAGGGATGCAGCCAGTGTGTTCAATCCCACAGCACCAGGGAGAGGCTGTGCCTGGGAACTGCCCCCCGTGACATGGCCCTTTTGAGCCCGACACCCACGCAGAGACACTGGTCCCCTCGCTCCCGTGGCAGTGCTGCCCTGCCACAGGGACACGCAGACCCAGGACGGGTCAGCTCCGTCTCCCGGCAGAGATTCCCAGCCCACATGAAGCAGATGATGGTATAAACCTAATTTTCTCTCCTTATGAGCCGACGCATGCAAATCTTCGGGTGCCAATCAAGAAAATACATCTCTAGTTACCTGTTCAGCTGCAGGCTTTTGCACATACCATTGGGATTGTTTCAGGCGTAATTAAAAAAAGAACACCATAAAAATGTGGCCCTGTGCTGTTCATGCGTAAGGCTCTGACATCACTCAGTTATGCTTATAATAACTCATATAATGGCTTGTAATAACTCATATGGAACTGAGGCTTTTCATGCCTCCTCCAGCTCAGCCCCGACAGCAAGCTGTCTCCAGCACTGCATCTCATCTGCATTGCAAGCTACCTTTCCTCACTGCTTCAAAAAGCTTTGGGCTTGTGTCACTGCCAAGGCATATCTGCATTCATGGAGCCCGCCATGAGGCCACTTGTCCAAATAACCTGGAATAGCCAAGGGCAAGATCCAAGCAGACAGGTAAACATCTCATCCGAGGATGGGGATTGAAAAATGAATTATGCATCTGAACACCTGTGTGGATGGGCGTGAGCACCTAAAACCATTTATATGCTTCGTAAAGTGGGAGTTGCAGTTTCATGGAAGGGGCAGAGGCAGAGAGGGGATTGTAAGTGTGGCAACACACAGCTATAAGAGCAGGTATCTTCCATCATTTGGCCATCTGACAGTGTAGGACACTGTTACCTCCCACCTTCCCCACCCCAGGTGAACTTCAGCATCCCACCCCCCTCGCAACTGCCTCGGGCACACTCACACCTTTGATTGCAATGGAAATATTTCGTCCAACCTTAGTGTGGGACTCGTTTCTCAGGGAGGAGGTACGGTGTGTCTTACGCCAAGCCTTCTGCTGTAGGACGTTCACCTGAGTGGCTCTAGAAGTACCTGTTTCTCTTGACTGTCCACCAAGAGAGGTGGCAGGAGGAGCTCAGAGGTAGCTACAGCAAATAGTGATGCAAATCCCACCTTGGTCATCTGGCTGGTGGTTGTCATCAACCAAATGAAAACACAAGGTGGATCACCCAGTCTGTCGTACGTTAGGACAGAAAAAGCAACTCCAGAGTTTTCCATCTCTCTCAAAGCTATAGAAAAAGTCAAACCCACAGATTTTCAGACAACTGAGACAAGACAAGGTGAAAGCCACCTAAGTAACTTGGTCTCGGCCCCTATAAAATCTGTGGCAGAGCAGGATTCCAGACCTGAGCCTGGGGGAGTCCCATCAGTGCCCTGCTCATTTTCCTGCCCTTCCTGCTCTCTAATTTTTCACTAATTGCTGAATTAACTTGCTGTTTCCAGTTGCCAGCCGGCAGTGGGTGGCACTGACATTCCTCACACTTCTCACCCAATTACTGCCTCTGCTACATTTGGCATTTGTTTCTCAGGCAGACATTCCTGAGGAGGTAGGCACGCAGGGAGTGAGAGGGTGCCCTCACCACTTACATCATTACTCAAAAAAAAAAAAAGGCATGTGACAACCCCAAGGCCCTCACCAGAGGGCAGAGAGTGGTTTTATAGCGATTCCTTTCTGCTTGCTGTGCGTCTGCGTGCACACAGGCGTAGCCACATGCCACTGAGCCTCTGAGCCTGCTCACACCCAAATAACCCTGTGTCAGCACGGAAATTACCTGGAAAATAGGCATCATAACCTCATGGGGCTCTCCTGCATGCTAAGGTGGTGCTAAGGGTTCCCTTCAGCAGCCATCCCACCTTTCCTAACCATCTGACCTGGCCTTGATGGGAACGTACACAATGGGTGTCACATCCCTTCCCCGCTTTCTCCTCCCAGATCCAGTGAGGTGGTGTCTGAGAGGGTGCACATGCTTATTTCTTGAGTTAAGGGATTTTTTGTAGTCTTGATTTCTTCCCTTTACAGATTCTTTTGCCATTTTTTTTCCTAGTGGTTTTCTGTCTCAGACTGAGGTTTCTCCAGTGAACCACTGAGCTGCCACCTCCCACCTCCCAGACACCTGCATTTCAGCAATGGGTGAAGGGGACTCATCAGTGTAAACGCAGAACAGACCCACAGCAATCCATGGGGATGCTCTGGAGATGACAGAGCAACTAGAGGTAGCACTTGGCCAGTTATTTCTGGGCTGCAGTACGGTTTGGAGGAAGAAGACACAAGGTTTGGGGCTCTGGAGTGGTGGCAGGGGTGATGACAATGTGAGGGGTGAAGATACATGGAGCAGGGAAGGTGGAGGAACCAGCTAGAGGGAAGTGCTGGGGAACCAAAGCCACCATGGAGGGGTTGCCCACTGCTTCATGGCAGGAATGGCTTTCAAGCCTGCCTGGGCAGGTCTGGTGAGTCAGACCGTGAGGAGATATGGTGGCTAGAGGTGATGAAGGGCCGTAGAAGGGCAGCAGCCCTGTGCCCTCCTCCAGCAGCGGTGAGTGTCCCTGTGGCCTGCATCCTGCTGCAAACCCCTGATGGCTCCCTGCAAAGCCCCCACGTACACCCCGGCTCCCGTGTCCCAGGTGCTGGGGCTCCTTGCTCACTCCAGTGTGGAAGAAGGGGTGAAGAAGAGCGAGCAGGGTGGATGAGTGGTGCAGAAGAGGAGTTAGGTCCCCTTCCTACATAAACTGGTGTCTTGTAGTGAATCTACGTGTACAAGTACCTAAATGGTGGGTTGAAGGATGATGGAGCTGGACTCTTCTCAGTGGTTTCCAGCGATAGGACGAGGGGCAACGGGCTCAAGCTGGAACAGAGGAAGTTCCACTCAAATATGAGGAAGAACTTCTTTACGGTGAGGGTGATGGAGCCCTGGAACAGGCTGCCCAGGGAGGTTGTGGAGTCCCCTTCTCTGGAGATCTTCAAGACCCACCTGGATGCAGTCCTGAGGGATGTGCTCTGGGCAACCCTGCTTTAGCAGGGGAGTTGGACTAGATGATCTCTAGAGGTCCCTTCCAACTCTGACAATTCCATGATTCCGTGATAGCGCACCACCTCACCAGGTGGGTATTTTCACAGCAAAACAAACCCTGCCTCAGTTCCCCCTCCGCCTCTCCTCACACCTGACAGTCCGTAGCCCCCAGAGGAGAAAGTGGAAATGCACCCGCTTTTTCCCTCCTCCAGGTTTCTGAAACTGGATAAGGAAGGGAGATGCCCAGCAAAAGCCTTTGCTGCTAGGGCTCACGTTGAGCTTGGCTGCGCTGGTCCCTGCAGCTGAAACAGCCACATGGACCTCTCCTCCTCTCCTGGGCAGCACAGGCCCCTTCCATGAGTCCTGCCAGGACCTCCAAGCGTAAGAAACTCACCACAAGTGTCCTATTCCCTCTGCCTTTTCCATCTCATTTGCAGGACTCCCTTCATTGACATCCCTCTGGCCAGCTTCGCTGCCGGCACACCACTGAGGGGACCTTCCTGCCCTGCCCAGGGCTGGCTCCCACCCCGCTCTGACCCTAACACTGGGTAGGGGCCATGAAGGCACCAAATCAAGACAAACAAAAGCAGCAAAATCCCCTCGTGCTTCCCGTGCATCTCCTGTCCCGTGTCCCCTCTCTGTAAGGATGTCCCTGCTGCCACCCCAGAGTGGTGGGAAGCTGCTTGTCTTTTGCCCTAGAGGGAAATCCAGGAGGATCATTTTCCCCCTGCGAGCTGGGTTTCCAAACAAGCCCCAGAAGGACAGCTGTGGTGTTACCCATCCCCAGCCTGGGAATTGTCTGATGGAGACCTCAGGCACATAAATGCCGCTGAGTGCCTGGGGAGCTGTCAGCTCTCGAGGGAGGCAGGGCAGGTGGCAGCTGATTCAAAGCCAAAAGCCTGACTCCTGGGCGCTGCTGGGCTTCAGAGCAGGCACAAGGGCTTCAGGGCTGAGACCATCAGGGGCTTAGGCCACCATGGAATGCCACATCTTGAAGCTTTAGGGCTTAGAACTTCAGTGGTCACCAGAGAGCAAGGAAGAGTTGGGGAAGATGACCTTGGTACAGCTAAGGGAAAATGTTTTCCCACCAGGCAAAAGAACAAACAGTGGGTCCTTCCTCACAGCAAGATCCATGTGATTTCAGCTGTCTGGAAAGGTCTGAGGACTATGAGATACACTGGGTGGCATCCCCTCCACCAGTGGGACCCTGGTACAATGGGCACTGCAACCAACAGCAGGACTTTATCCCCACCCCTCCTCGCTCCCCATCATTTCCCAGCCACAAACCCTTGCACCCTCACTTCCTCCTCCTTTCTCCAGGTCCCAGAAAACCCTCTGTAGCTAAAATCTTGCCCCAACCATCACCACCTCCCCAGCAGGGATGGGCTTCTCTGGAGCTCTCTGCCAGTGCGTAGGTCCCAGTTTTATTTCTGCTGGAAGGAAAGAACCCCGTACCACATTCAGCACACATCTCCCAGAGGAAGCATCTTGCAAAATCACAGGAACTTTGTGGCCTGCACCGATAAAACCCCAACACTTTACAACAGCAGAACTTGAGTTACAATGGTGGCGTCCCCCGGCAACATTACGTCGGCCTCCCCTGTTACTCCCCAGTTGGTTCATTATTATTAATGTCACTACAATAAATACCAGAACAAAATTGACAGCGTTTGGCCACGTATCTTAAAGCATTGCCCCACTCCTCCTCCACTCCATGTCTTTGCAGCTTTGGTTTCCATCCCTATAAGTCATCAGAGGAGCCTTTAGGGACAAACCGCTTGACTATGTGACCAGCCAAATAATAAAAGCCATGCAGAAGTGTGGCTGTGGCATCGATGACCAGGGAGAAGGTGCCCCCGATGCCGGTGGCCAAGTCTTTGAGGACAGAGGGAATGGCACAGATGGAGTAGTAAGGAAAAGCAGCGAGGTGAAGGACAAACCCCACAGGGATGCGCAGAATCCTGTAGGTGAGGGACGCCACATCTTGAACAATTTCCAGGAAGCCCAGAAAGATGTTGACGATGACCCTCCCCACATCATAGGGGATGCTGATGAGCACCATGCTGATGGCTTTAAGGTAGGACACCACCCCGTTCCACAGGCTGTAGACTCCATCCAGAACTGTACCAACAACCCGCTTGATAACAAGCCACAGAAAATAGAACACAAATTTCACCAGCTCCACAAACACGTAGATGAGGAGTTCCAGAAGTTTGATGAAAGGGGTAGCAATGATGCCAGCCACTTTTCTCACCAAGCCACTGTCTTTGGCCTCCTCGTTGTCACTTGTTCCTACTTGCTCTCCGGAGCGGATCTGACTGACAGCTTGCAATATTGCTTCTGTTTTCTCCTGGCTTTGATTGTCTTCCCCACAGCTGCCCTTAAACAAGTGAACTCCTGCTAGAAGCTGCTTCTCCAGCTCTCCCACCGTGAGGTCCACCAAGCTGTTCTCATCATTCGTTTTTTTCACTAGTCCCAGGGACCATCCCTCCGGAGCATCACAGCAGGCTGCCAGCCAGAGAGTCTCTGGCACTGCCACCTTGCCTTTAACTTGGACATTGGAAGGAATTGCACCTGCAAGGAGATACAGATGATCTTTCTTGGAGCAGTGAGGGACCAGAGCTTGCTCCACTACCCTCCCGATGTCTCTGTGCCAGCTTTTGCTCAGAGATGGGCTCAGAGGGACGGCGTTCGTGAGCGTGTAAGTGGCCATCTGGAAATCCTCCTCGTTGAGCAGGCTGGGATTGAGCAGCCCTCTCTCGTAACCAGAGCCCACGTAGTCTGAGGTCAGGGCTTGATTTGCACCAAGGTTGGCCACAGTGCCAACGATATCAGCTTCGTGCACCATCTCCTGCAGGTCATTTTCTGGATCGTCTATCTGAAATAGTAGGGAGGAGAGTTACTGGATGCGACTTGTCTGTTTAGAAAACAATGTATAAAACGGGCTTGGAAAAGTATATAAATAGAACAGTATGTTTTCCATTATGGCTGCTACTACAGGCTGTGCCTCGGACCACATTCTTCTCTCCCTCCATATTTTTCTTGCGCTTCAGAGGAGTGAATGCTCCACTGAGCTGCCCCACCAAACACATCAGTTTAGGCTGCAAAGGGTGCTTGCAGCTCTCCGGTTTGGTCCACAGCAGAACACAGCCTCCAGAATCTCACCAGCCACCCTCCACCAAGCTTCTCACTTGGGCTTTTTTTTTTTCCTAGAAGAGATTTTTAAGACCAATAGATGGCTTGATTTAGGGCCATGTTCTCACCTCCCATTGTGGTGGTACCTTGGCACCTTAATTCAGCCCCTCTGAACTATCAAATCCAAGCCTTGAAGAAAAAAACCACCATGGTATATAAGACACCTAAAGAAGGCATTGAGCTCTCACCACTGATTGTGTAAGAAGGCAGAATGAAGCCAGGCACCACGGCAGGTGACCTGAACTTCCCGGCCTTGAGCAGACACGGCACTGAGCTCCTAGGGCTCTCTCAGGGCTTGTCATTAGTAGCCTGCACCTCATGTCATTAGTCGTCTGAACCTCATCTTTAATGACCACGCAGCTCCTTGCATAACATGGGTGAGGATGCCATCACGGCAGGTCCTTGATGGAATCTGCATTACCTGCTCGTGTCTGCCACAGTGGGAATTCACCCTGGAGCAGGCACAGAGCCCTGCATGGGGAGGTAACGAGCAGTGGGAGCACTGAACACCAGGGCATGCCCAAGTCTTTCTCTGGTGGCCGCAGCTCTGTCTGCTCCTCAGTCACTCCTGTCAGCACTGCCTGCAGACACTCCGGGGGGGTTTGCCAGACGGTCATTTTCTTCCCCCAAATTAGAGGGCTGCCCCAATCAAACCTGCTGTCTTTGCTCCTGGCCTGCAGACTGTTTACTGCGCTTCCTAATACCTACTTTGGAGACACCTATGGCAAGACAGTTCATAGTCTACCTTGAGTCACTCCCCAGTCATCCCTTGGCCGCCCTGCAATGCACAGGGACAGATGCACAGCTACGTCCTTGTGACCTTAGAGCTGTCGTCCTCTCGGTGCCGCATCCCCTCCCCGCAGCGCCGTGCCAGCCTGTGCTGAGAGCGGGGATGACGGGGACGGTGCCAGCAGCTGTCCATCACCCTCACCATGGGAACCCAGCTCTGGCTGCCCTCCCGCACCAGCCAAGCCCTGCAGTCCAGGCTCAGGGCTCCCTCTGCACCAAGGCTGGTGAGGGTGCCAACGCCGGCCGCTGCAGAGGGCTGCATTACCCCCATCTCCTGCTAGGAGGTTTCTTGCTCTTCATTTAGAAGCATCTGATGCTTATTGCTTCAGCACTGAAAGGATCGCAGCAAGACCCACGCGCTGATGCAGAAGTCGTAGCCTTTTCTAAACACACCACTTAAAAAAGACTTAACCCTGCACTGCTTCTGCCTTGTTCTGCTCCTCTTGCTCAGACACCCCAAACGCAGGGGATACAGCTGGCTGGTGAGGCCAGACGTTTTGCATTCTGCAAAGTCACTGTCCCTTCCTGCCCCCCCCAGCTCCTTCTCCCTGTTGTGATATGATGGCAGTGCTGTGCCACGGGGCCAGGGATGCAGCCAGTGTGTTCAATCCCACAGCACCAGGGAGAGGCTGTGCCTGGGAACTGCCCCCCGTGACATGGCCCTTTTGAGCCCGACACCCACGCAGAGACACTGGTCCCCTCGCTCCCGTGGCAGTGCTGCCCTGCCACAGGGACACGCAGACCCAGGACGGGTCAGCTCCGTCTCCCGGCAGAGATTCCCAGCCCACATGAAGCAGATGATGGTATAAACCTAATTTTCTCTCCTTATGAGCCAACGCATGCAAATCTTCGGGTGCCAATCAAGAAAATACATCTCTAGCTACCTGTTCAGCTGCAGGCTTTTGCACATACCATTGGGATTGTTTCAGGCGTAATTAAAAAAAGAACACCATAAAAATGTGGCCCTGTGCTGTTCATGCGTAAGGCTCTGACATCACTCAGTTATGCTTATAATAACTCATATAATGGCTTGTAATAACTCATATGGAACTGAGGCTTTTCATGCCTCCTCCAGCTCAGCCCCGACAGCAAGCTGTCTCCAGCACTGCATCTCATCTGCATTGCAAGCTACCTTTCCTCACTGCTTCAAAAAGCTTTGGGCTTGTGTCACTGCCAAGGCATATCTGCATTCATGGAGCCCGCCATGAGGCCACTTGTCCAAATAACCTGGAATAGCCAAGGGCAAGATCCAAGCAGACAGGTAAACATCTCATCCGAGGATGGGGATTGAAAAATGAATTATGCATCTGAACACCTGTGTGGATGGACGTGAGCACCTAAAACCATTTATATGCTTCGTAAAGTGGGAGTTGCAGTTTCATGGAAGGGGCAGAGGCAGAGAGGGGATTGTAAGTGTGGCAACACACAGCTATAAGAGCAGGTATCTTCCATCATTTGGCCATCTGACAGTGTAGGACACTGTTACCTCCCACCTTCTCCACCCCAGGTGAACTTCAGCATCCCACCCCCCTCACAACTGCCTCGGGCACACTCACACCTTTGATTGCAATGGAAATATTTCGTCCAACCTTAGTGTGGGACTCGTTTCTCAGGGAGGAGGTACGGTGTGTCTTACGCCAAGCCTTCTGCTGTAGGACGTTCACCTGAGTGGCTCTAGAAGTACCTGTTTCTCTTGACTGTCCACCAAGAGAGGTGGCAGGAGGAGCTCAGAGGTAGCTACAGCAAATAGTGATGCAAATCCCACCTTGGTCATCTGGCTGGTGGTTGTCATCAACCAAATGAAAACACAAGGTGGATCACCCAGTCTGTCGTACGTTAGGACAGAAAAAGCAACTCCAGAGTATTCCATCTCTCTCAAAGCTATAGAAAAAGTCAAACCCACAGATTTTCAGACAACTGAGACAAGACAAGGTGAAAGCCACCTAAGTAACTTGGTCTCGGCCCCTATAAAATCTGTGGCAGAGCAGGATTCCAGACCTGAGCCTGGGGGAGTCCCATCAGTGCCCTGCTCATTTTCCTGCCCTTCCTGCTCTCTAATTTTTCACTAATTGCTGAATTAACTTGCTGTTTCCAGTTGCCAGCCGGCAGTGGGTGGCACTGACATTCCTCACACTTCTCACCCAATTACTGCCTCTGCTACATTTGGCATTTGTTTCTCAGGCAGACATTCCTGAGGAGGTAGGCACGCAGGGAGTGAGAGGGTGCCCTCACCACTTACATCATTACTCAAAAAAAAAAAAAGGCATGTGACAACCCCAAGGCCCTCACCAGAGGGCAGAGAGTGGTTTTATAGCGATTCCTTTCTGCTTGCTGTGCGTCTGCGTGCACACAGGCGTAGCCACATGCCACTGAGCCTCTGAGCCTGCTCACACCCAAATAACCCTGTGTCAGCACGGAAATTACCTGGAAAATAGGCATCATAACCTCATGGGGCTCTCCTGCATGCTAAGGTGGTGCTAAGGGTTCCCTTCAGCAGCCATCAGACCTTTCCTAACCATCTGACCTGGCCTTGATGGGAACGTACATAATGGGTGTCACATCCCTTCCCCGCTTTCTCCTCCCAGATCCAGTGTGGTGGTGTCTGAGAGGGCTGCACATGCTTATTTCTTGAGTTCAGGGATTTTTTGTAGTCTTGATTTCTTCCCCTTACAGATTCTTCTGCCATTTTTTTTCCTAGTGGTTTTCTGTCTCACACTGAGGTTCCTCCAGTGAACCACTGAGCTGCCACCTCCCACCTCCCAGACACCTGCATTTCAGCAATGGGTGAAGGGGACTCATCAGCGTAAACGCAGAACAGACCCACACCAATCCATGGGGATGCTCTGGAGATGACAGAGCAACTAGAGGTAGCACTTGGCCAGTTATTTCTGGGCTGCAGTACGGTTTGGAGGAAGAAGACACAAGGTTTGGGGCTCTGGAGTGGTGGCAGGGGTGATGACAATGTGAGGGGTGAAGATACATGGAGCAGGGAAGGTGGAGGAACCAGCTAGAGGGAAGTGCTGGGGAACCAAAGCCACCATGGAGGGGTTGCCCACTGCTTCATGGCAGGAATGGCTTTCAAGCCTGCCTGGGCAGGTCTGGTGAGTCAGACCGTGAGGAGATATGGTGGCTAGAGGTGATGAAGGGCACCAGTGGCAGAGGTAAATGGGAAAGGATCTCATCTCTGCCACTTTGCCTTGCTGCCTCCAAGGCACTGACAAGCAGATGCTCACTCCCCTAGGTCCTCTTTGTGCTTTAAAACAAGGCAAATGGGAAAGGATCTCATCCCTGCCGCTTTGCCTCGCTGCCTCCAAGGCACTGACAGCAGCTGCCCACTCCCCTAGGTCCTCTTTGTGCTTTAAAAATTCATCACCTTTCTGCAACACCACAGGGGCAGAGTCTGCAAAAACCTTCCTTCTGTTTTAAAAGGGTGGGCAGACACCTCCCCCAGCCATCTGTGGAGTGGAAGGAGAGCAGATCAAAGGGCCCTTGGGAACCTCTGCAAGTCAAGACCCAGCCCAGAGATGGGGCAGCCAGTCCGAGGTGAGGACAGGGACGTAGGATCTCCTGTCTTCATTGCCTGGGACCTCGCGGCCTTGGTATCTTGTCACCCCACATGAGGAACACGAGCAGTGCAGCCACTCTCCCGGGACAGGGGTGAGCTTTGATTCTGGCTCCAGCACCCGAGGGCCCTGCTCCCACCACACTGCGCGGATGCTGCAGCCATTCCCACCCCAGCAAAGCACCCTCACACCCTGCCTCTCTGTTCTCAGCTCGATAGTTGGGGGCAGCTTGGCGTTTGCTACAAAATTCCTGCTGAAAGACCTGAAACAGGGCAAAATACAAATCAAATTTAAAAAAAAGAGGTAAAGTCTACTTGTTCTCTTGAAGCCCCAGCAACTTTTTTAAGGATTTCCTTTAAATATTAACAGCCCGAAGGACTTGCTTAAACACGCCTGGTGCCAGGGGAGACACCGAGGTTCTGCTGAAATTTGTTCCTACACCCTTCTGGCCCCGACTGAAGCCCGCAGGCTGCAGGACACGGCAACTGGTTTCCCCCCCGACGTCGCTGGCAGCTGAGGGACACAACAAAAAGCTGCAGCGCCAACGCGGTGAACCGCAAAGGGGTGTTTTATCCCGGCCCAGCGAAGCTGAAGAGTTGTTATCAACACCCTCATCACGCCGGCAACGGAACACCCTTCCACTTGACACGGCGGCGTTTAACCCTGCTCCCCACCAGCTCCAGCTGGCTGGGCAGGACAGACCCAGCAGCTGGTGTCAAAGGTGACTTCTTCTCCTCTCCCAGCTCTCGTTAACGAGCCCCACGGGATGAGGAAATATTTGTTCGCTCGGTTCCAAGCCCCAAAAATAAGTCTTGCTCGTGTTAAATTAACATCAAAAGAAGTTCAACAAGCAGAGCCCCTGCCTCCTTTACAAAATCCTACCCCCAGCTCCACCCCAGAGGAAACATTCTCCAGGAACATTTGGTTGACAGTGAAGGAAAGGCTGACTGACTTACCTGCGGCTCCACCAGCCAGCTCTCCTCCTCGCTTGGGGCTGGCTTTGTGTACTTAAAAGCCGAATAAAGAGGGATTTTGTCCTTCGTGCTGTAGAGGGTTGCGAAGCGCGGCTCTCTGTTGTACTGCTGACAGATTTTCACGTGGAACGGCTCCCTGAATCCCTCGGGTGGGACTCGTCCGGGGAAGAACACATTGCACTCCGCAAAACCGCCTTCATCCTCTCCGACAACTCTGCCCTGGGAAAAGGCTGGGAATACGGCGAGGCACAGCAAAACCACCATGGAGGTCTTCATGGTGCGCTCCCTGGAGCTGAGGGGAGCCCCGTCCGCCTCCGCTGGGTCCGGCAAGGGACCTGTGCGCTGAGTCCATGCAGCGGCGGAGCCAGAGGAGCCTCTGGAATGGTTCGGGAGCGGCGGAACCGCAGCCGGTGCCTCGGGGCGGGCGGTGCGTCCCGCAGCACAGCGCCTGCCCGGAGCCCACCCCCGCACGGCTGCCCGCAGCGGGGACTGCCTGCACACCCGGAGGAGGAGGAGGAAGAGGAGGAGGAGGAGGGACGGGTAGGGCGGTGCGGGGCCGGAGCTCAGCCGCACAGGGCTGCCCCCGGGGCTGGGGCTGAGCCCGGCGGGGGGGGGGGGGGG